TCTCATCGTGCAATAGCAAAAAGTTTGAATCACGATAAACAGATTAATCAAAGATGAAAAAGGCGAACATTATAGAAAAAAAAAAAAACACATAAACGACAATCTTTTTCTTCTTTTTCGGGGAACTCCGATTTTATATCATACACTCATCTGCACGATTATGTGAATCTCGAGAGTCCTATTAATAATTTGCATATCATTACTTTTTGTCACAAAAGAGGAAACCTGGATCTGTTCGTCTCAGTAAAAATACTACGTAAATGTGCTCGTATCAAATTAATTATAATGAATATCTGTCAGACCAATATAGAACTAATACAAAAGTGGGAGTTTCGTATCATTTTCTGCTGTTCGATTACTTAATCACCGTTTTATATACGTCATGACGCGAATAATAAACATTAAAGGAATCAGATTGTTGGCATATGTTTTCACAATAATAAACGGCGAAAAGTTGAATGAATAACAAAGAGATTTGTTGATCTCGCAGCTAGTTTCGCGTTGAAACTTAACTTGAGATCAATTCTTTACAACATGTAACATAAAATTTAAATGTAAAGTATAAATTCTTTAAATATATAAAATTATTTTTACCGATGCACATTTTATTTGCAATATTAGTCAATTATTTGCAGCATCTAGCTTTCTATATAAATTATATAAATTTGTCTTTAATATATATTTGTTTTTTATATATTTATATATAGGGCCAAACAGAATCCCTCATTCTTTCAATACGGAAAACGAATCGATACAAGTAATACATGTGGCGACATCTACTGTTTGAGTAAAATAAAGCTATGTAATATTGATAAGTAATGTCGATTAATATAGCGTGTGTCGATATTTGTAACTATCGACATTTTAAAATTACTGAAACTTAAATTCATAAGAAATGATAAAATATCAGGAAAAAATAGTCGAGTAATAGGCGGCTAATTATAAAAAGGGACTAATTATGATTTTTCAAGAAACACTCTCTAAAATTTGAAGTCCATTTAAATAATTTAAATTCAAGCCTTAAATTTTTAAAAATAAACAAAATATCAAAGAAATATAATAAAGAAGTACAAGTCGAAACAACACACTTTAAACATATCCATTTCCAAAGTTTATTTATTATAAAGTTTTTGTTATCTGTATTAGCATAAAATTATGGCCATACAAATGCATATTTAATTGAAATACATGTATATTTATAAATATGATACACGCGCCTACGATTCCATGTACAAAGCATTCACACTGAGTGTGTTATTTAGTTCTTAATATTGAGACTAATAAACATTGGAAAATAAATACATAATAATTTTTTAGTACTAATTTCTATTCTTAATAAATGATAGAAATTGAATAACCTAATCCAACCTGCTGAGAATACTCATTATTATTATTTATCGTTGTAATATTCTCGACTTATTATATCAAATTCTTTATTTTATAATTAAGTAATGCAACGTGTATTTTTTGTGATATAATTTTTTATACATACATTGAAAAATTGATCCAAAGCAAACGATTAAAAGAAATATATTTGTTCTTAATTAGATATTAATAAATTTAATATTAAAATAATTTTGATGAAAATAATTTTGATTTTTTAATGAAAAGATTAACTGTCCAATTCAGAATTATTTTATTTTCTCTAGTTATCTATTTCTTAGATAACAGATAAGAAAAAAATATTTCTTTCAATCGTTATTGTCAATTATTAATAATTTTTCTTCATACAGTTCGTATGAACTATTGAATTGAATTTTGTGCAGTTTGTGTAAATGATGAAAACGATCATTATACACAACAATTAATAAAAACTTGATATTAATTAAAATATTTATATACTAAGATATAAATATTTAATTTTATTATGGGAATGTCATCACTTACCCGCCTGACGATATTTGCATATAAATTGAGGAACACATTGAATATTATAAATCTTAATTACAAGTTTATTTTAACGCTATAATTACTACACACTTAGTACCACCTATTAATCGAGCAACACTTGTGCTTTCTCTTGTATAGGATAGAATTCCTATATAATAGTATGATATTAAACTGCATTTATGTAGTCTCTAAACATTCTTAGTCTCGAAAGTATTTTATATGTAATATAAACCCATGAGTTGATAAATTGACGGATGACACTTCATTTATTTCACTAAGCCCATTTTTTTAGCTTCCACTTCATAAATTAATAACCTCCACATTTTGACTACGAACACTTCTGCTTCTTCATCCAACACCTGAAATAAGTAGAATATATATTTTTCAAGAGATTTATCCATGCGATAAACATGCGAGAAAAATTACATGATATAATTACCATCTGTACATCATCTAGTATTCCTTGAGGAGAACTACCTGCCATTACTTTGCTACAAATAAAATCCACTAAAGTAGGTTCTGGTTCGCCAATATATTCAATAATCTTTTTATTAATCCAAGGTCTTATCCTTTTCTCCATCAACGTCTAAATGAACAAATAAAATATGTAAAAATTTGGAATATTGGATGCTTATAAAAGCTGATTTTATCTAACATAAAAAAAATTAAATCAAGATGTAGCTAAATAATATTGACAAAACTGGCTTTAAGATAAGAAAGTTTCAAGAAGAAAAACTTAATTGTAAATAATACTTACGTTATCGATGAGTGCCCAATCGAGTTGATAGCCAAACAATGCGTTCTTATCAGTAGGTATTTTATCTATAAGTGATTTTATGTGCTTTCGCTTTTCTTCTTGACTCTTGGTATTTTCTTCTTTGCCTGTTTTCGTAGCTTCCTCAGTTTTCTTTTTTTTCTCATCTCCATAATCTATGAAAATATAGATTCTGTGAGTATGTCGACTCTCAATTTTCTTCATTAAAGTAATGAAAATAAGATATTTACCTAGAGGTACAAGTTTACGCTTCTTCGCATTATTAGTAGCATCATCATCGTCATCGTTATTAAATACATCTTTAACGTCAATACGACCTCTCTTACGCGTTTGATTTGTTTGTTGTGAATTCGTATTAGCAACGGTATTAGGACTGGCCGGTGTTTTGTTACCTATACTATGATCATTAGCACGATTGCCTCCACTTCCCATAGCAAATGGAACAAAGTTACCTACAACAAGGAAAGATGCAATTGTATGTGAAAAAATTTATATGAATAATTTATATAACTTTTAAATATTTAATGTTAATCAAAGTTGTATTATATGAAAATGAATTATAACGAAGTAATTTATACAGATATATCTATATATAAAAGATACACTCACTACTGCTTGTCTTTTCTGGTTCACTGACAAGGGACATACGTGAATCTTCATCTAATGATGGTGGAATGGATTGAGCAGGTGTCGCGGCTGATTGATGCCCAGGTGATGGCCGTGCATCTTTTAGACTCTCTCGGTCCACCTCTACGAGTCCTTCCTGGGTCTCTTCGCCGTCACGATGATGATTCTGATGATGTCTATGATGTCGTCGATGGTGATGATGGTGCTGTCGCGGTGGTGTCCTGGACGGTGCTTCCGGTTGTGAAATCTCGTCAAATTGCACGCCGTCATCACTGTCACTCTCTATTGGCTCTGTTTCAATTGGAGGCATTACTTCTTTATCTTTCTTCACCGTTTTCTCTTCCTCTTCGTCGATTATAGTTATCACTGGTTTAGGCTTATACTGTTCTTCTCTTTCGGCTTTCAACTAATAAAAGCAGATCATAAAGATAAATAAAAAATGTAAAGAATCTCTTTTTTTGTATTTCCTTGTGAATTAATAACTGTATAATTATATAGATAATTAGATAATTCTATGAAATATAACACTTTAAATTATAATGTATGTAAAAAGAATTAATTCCTATATAATATTATAATATCAGTATTTTCTACAAATTGGATTTTTAAATTCAGTTTAGAGAAAAGGAAAATGGAAAATTGAAATTTGTTAAAATCAATTCTCTCTTTTATAATTTTGTTTTAGTTATAATTATAAAAATATATATTTTATATTCAAAGATCAAGAATATAATTACCCTTTCGAATTCCGCAGCAGGATCTGGATTGGAGGTATCTGCGTATAACTTATCGCGTAGACGTTGAAGCTCCTGGCGTTCTGCACAACGATCTCGCGAGTCTGCTTCAGCCTCCAGTGCTCGTTCTTCGAGCCGGCGAGACAACTCTTTGCCCTTGTAATACTTGGAGTCATCGCGATCGTCATCGTAATCCTCGAGGAACTCCTTCAAACGTTTTGCCTCCCTCTCCTTAGCTTCACGTTTCGCGCGCCGCTTCTCGGCTTCCTTCTCGTACTCCTTCTGTTTGCGTCGTTCGCGTGTCTCCCACGCCCTCAAACGTTCTTGGTACGCCGCCTCCTTTTCCCTGGCTCGCCTCTCGTTTTTTTTCCTTTCTTTTGCTTCTTCCTCCTCCTCCCTCTCACGCATAATCTCCCTTTCGGTTTTCCTCACCTCTTCCCGCTCTCGTTCCCTCTCTCGCTCTCGGTCTCTCTCCTTCTCCCTATCTCGCTCGCGTTCTCGTTCACGTTCCCTTTCGCGATCCCGATCCCGCTCCCGCTCGCGTTCTCGTTCTCGCTCTCGATCTCTCTCACGGTCTCTATCGCGATCTCGGTCTCGGTCGCCCCTCAATCGATCTCTATCACGTTCCTTAGATCTGGCAAATTCAAACAGTTTATAAAGCGATTGCAAATAAAAAAGATACATTAAAAGAATTTATTCTATATATACATGAGATAAGACAGAAAAAGTTGTAAAAGATAATGAAGCCACTGGTAAATATCCAGAAAGGGCATAATATAGATCGCATACATCTATACAATATAATTAAATCATGTCTATCATGCATATTTTCTATTTACAAAAATATTTTGATATAAGAAATATTATACGCTTCATATATCGTTCAATGGTGCATCTATCCTATGCAAATAGTTTACCTTGATCTAGTTCGACGTTTATCTCGTCTATTGCTGCCGGTACTATCACTACGACCTTTATGAGACGTAGGACTACCAGAGTCTCCATCCTGATCATCCTTGGAGGCATCATCGTCGCGCTTATCGCGCCGTTCCTTTTCTCGCTTCTCGCGTTCTTCCTTCTCGACAGCTTCCTTCTTTCGCTTTACTTGGGCCTTCTCCTCCTCCTGCTTCTATAAAACACAAGAATGCAGATGCAGGTGAGACAAAAAGGTTGAAACAAGCGTGTCGGTCTGTGATAATGATGGAACCAAGGAACTAGCAATCGTATTTTTCTTAGATGCAACAAAAGACATTACATCCAATAAATGTCAGCAAACAAAGATCTTCCTAACGATCGTATGAGAATAGAAAAAAATAATACTAATTTATTCAACAAAACTTGAAATAAAAAATTCGCATATATCACAATTTGTCAAATAAATTTTGTCAAAATGTAACTATTGAGAAATGTTTCTGTTGCATTGTCAACAATAAACAGAAAGAA